AAAAGATAGGACTTGATGGATGTGCAGAACAGAACAAAGGAGAAAGTAACTTGGCAAATGTTTTAAATATTGTTCACTTAGTTTATTAAATTATAGTTCCCAGGTAGAAATATCTAGCAGCACTTTAAAATGTGCTGCTAGAACCTTGAGTTAAGACTGGAGATAGATTTTGAAATCAACTTATATTTGTTTGTTATCAGTAAAGGACCACTCTGCTATTAGATGTGTTCCTGTTCCTTGGGAATAGGATTTCATGCCTGGCCCAGCATTTGCCAGCATTATAGACAATAAAAGGTTCCAGAGTAAGTTCCTTTCCAGAGGCCTTGCTGAAGGATATTTCTATAAGATTAAATATCATCCTGACTTGGATATGGTCTGAGTCTGTTTTTCACCCTTTCCTATTTATCTTTATGTACGTGGGGTCCTCAAAAAGTTCATGGAAAGATTCGTATTATCTTTTAATTATATTTTTCCATGAACTTTTTGAAGTACCCTTATATATACACACACATATATTTTCGAGTTGCCTTTATAACATGTCGTAGTTTTGTTTCTGCGACCATTTAAAAAGCTACAGGCCTTGCATCTTATTTCTTCCGTTTCCTAATTGCCATTCATCCCACTGCATCAGCGGCTACTTTACCAGTTTTCTCTGGTTACTGGTTAGGTTATCTCAGTTTCGGGGTTTTTGCAAATTCTTTTTCTGTAATTCTGATCCACTGCATTTGACTTTGAAATACTGTATTTAAATGTTGAGAGTGTCACACCTCAGGAATTCATAGCTAGACCAAACTAAATAATGAAGGATATACTGGGAAAATCCAGCCAATTTAGTGCTTCCAATCTGCCTCCCAGTTTAATTCTATCTCTGCTAGTTTCTGAGGCCAGCTCTTTATGGGGAGTCAGGTTGGTAGAGAAGATTAGTGCAAACTAACTTGTCTCTGTACTTTTTAGAAGATGATGCTTAGTTCTTTTAGAAACAAAGGAAAGATAAAATGTCTTGATTAAATGTTTTAGATCTGTGTTCAGAAAAGATTAAGAAACAATGCTTTTGATACATACGTATAATGTGTTCTTGCTTGAAAAAATCTGTTTGTGCTTCTTCTTGTCCTTGCAATCTGGTGTGAGAGTGAAGAGAGAAGGTGGTCAGCTATCAAAGTAGGTGTAAGCCCTTGATATGTTTGTTTGTAAAAAGCCAACAAATTGTACATAATAAGATTCTTTTTTTTTTTTTTTTTTAATTTTTATTTTGTCAGTATACACTGTATATGATTATTATGGCCCATCACCGACACCTCCCTCCCTACATAATAAGATTCTAACAGATTTTATATCTAATGTAAGGTGAAGTATGAATTAATTTAAAAATAGTTTTTAAAAATTCCATTTACTAAGTTGACTTTAATATACATGGTATAACTAGTAATTTCAACATGAAGATACTTCAAAAGTTCATGGAAAGGTTCTTATTATCTTCTAATTCTATTTTTCCATGGACTTTTTGAAGTACACTCATGTTTCAATATAGTATTGACATACCCTCTTTGAAATTGATAGAAACTGATTTCTAGGTACCCTAATTTTATTCTCTTCCAAGGGGAAAATGTGAATACCTTACCCTTTCATTTCCTACATCTACCCATTTGTTCATTTATTTATTCATATCAGCTCTTCCTCAAAGTATATCCTTTATCCAACCATTTCTTACCACCTCTACTACTGCCACTGTAGTCCAAACCACCATCATCTGTTACCATCCTCCTAACCCATTTTCCTACTTCCATTCTTATTCCATCTCTTGTACATTCCCCATGGATCAGCTAGACTTTTTTTAAGTATATGCTAAATTACATCACCTCCATACCCTCTCTTGATTTCCCATCTCACACAGGATAAAATCCAAGGTCTCTCAGGCCTGCAAGGTACTACATGATCTACCCCCAGTCCTAACTTTCACCACTAAGTTTGTGCTGCTTGAGCCGCACCTCTGAGGGTCTTGTTGTCCCTCTGAACTGAATGCTCTTCCTATAGATATTTGCCTTGGTTGATTGCTCTGCTTCCCTGGTTGATTGTTTCTTCTCAGTTTCACTCTCCCTATCTATTCTAAAATACTGTACCTTCCTACCCAGGTCCATCATTCTGTGTGGAATAAAGAACAACCCTTTCAAATTAAATAAATTAGCTTTATGAAAAACTTGTGTTGTCTTTTTCCCTGGTTTTGCCATGGATGAGAATTCTTTGTCTCCTCCCAGCACCCATCCCCAAACTAGAGTTTGCATTTAGGCAAGAGTAGTTCACTCTTAGCTTTCTTTTTTGCTGAAGTCTTTTTAGAATAATTATTATTCTCACTGTTAATGTAATTTTTATGTTGAAGCACATAAAGCACAAATGAAGTTCTGCATATTTGTTCTCTTACCTCTCTCTCATAGGATTAGAATTAGAGTCCTGAGAAAATCTGTTAATGATGGAAGAGGAACATTTCTGTGTTTTCCTTTGTTTAAGTTTTTAAAAATTAATTTATTTTATTTGTATAATTTTACTTTCAAAAGAAACCTCTTTGCACAGTATTAAGCGTGGGATTTTTTATTCTATACAATTAATTTCAATTTTGGAATTCCAGGAGCCTGTAATTATTTTGGGTGATATGTGTTATACAAACATTGTCTAAGGAAAAGTTTGCTTTGTATGCATTTGAGTTAATTTATGTGTGTAAAATTTGGTGAGAAGTGGCCTGGTATTCACCTGAAATTTTATCTAATTTTTTATGTTTTTGCCATTTTCTCATGTTTATTCTTTCTTAGAATTAGAGCTCAGTAATAAAGGTCCTATGAAAAGAATTAAATGTATCCTTAGCTTTTGCTTTTTAAAATAAACTTTTAAAGTCTCATGTGTATTGAGTCTTAATTTGTAAACTGTCAAGTGATTTTTTGTCACATTTCTTTTTTTTTTTGAAATTAACACTATAAAACACCTTTTTCACCCTGTTAGAGACCACTTATGTACTTTATGTGTTGAAGCACACATAGCACAAATGAAGTTCTGCATATTTGTTCTCTTATTCTCTCTCACAGGATTAGAATTAGAGTCCTGATAAAATCTGTTATCAATGGAGGAGGAACATTTCTGTATTTTCCTTTGTTTAATTTTTAAAAAATTAATTAATTTTATTTCTATAATTTTACTTTCAAAACAAACCTCTTTGCACAGTATTAAGCATGGGGTTTTTTTATTCTATAAATAAAAAAGCATGTGGATGAACATGTGGGATCCTAGTCTGAAGTTACGTTCAGAATTATAGGATAGCTTTCATGGGATTCACCAGAATTCACTGCCCAAAGAAGATTAAGTACCTATTTTCTAATAAAATAACAGATCCTTTAAAAATATCTTTCTATACAAAGGTACTTCAAAAAGTTTGTGGAAAAATTGAATTAAAAGATAATAGAGATCTTCCATGAACTTTTTGAAGTACCTTCATATTTCATACCTAAAGAAATTATTAGCCCAAATGCATACACTGTAGCAAAGTAGACTGTTGTTCATATCTAACTGAATAACTTTTTCTCAGACCTCGTAAGAAAGGATAGTTAAATAATTGAGTTTTCTACAAATTTAACAGGGAACTTAAGATATAAAGCAATTATTAATAAATGCATAGGTGCTTTCAACATAGCTACACATAAAACTTGGCCTTTAAAGTCTGCAACATTATCAGTTCACCATGTCTACTGATAAATAATAGTGACTACAATGTTTTCATTCTGAACTAAAATATAAAGAAAATTGTGTGCTTCTTATTTACAATTGAAGAAAATACTATTAGTCATAAATAAGCATACAAGACAGATGTCAAATTTGGGGTGAGTTTTCCCCCAAAATTATACTTGTGAAAAGATGTAATCACGGGCCGGCCCGGTGGCGCACTGCTACAGTGCGCCGCTTGGGAGCGCGGTGGCGCTCCCGCCGAGGGTTCGGATCCCACATACAGACCGGTTCCCGCTCACTGGCTGAGCGAGGTGCGGGTGCAGCACTGAGGGTTGCGATCCCGTTGCCGGTCCCGGTCCGGTACGGGCGCGACATTGAGGGTTGCAATCTGTTGCCGGACACGAAAAAAGACAAAAAGAAAAAAAAAAAAAAAAGATGTAATCGCCTTGTATTCAAGTATTTACAAGTCTCTCACATCATTGGCATTTTAGTTTTCTTTGAACTTCAAAGTACTGTTAGGGGACATATCGACCTTAAATAACATCAGTCAATTGATAGTTTTGGAAACTTTATTAGAAGTCACCTTAAAAAAATAAAGACAAAAAATTAGTACATATTTTAGGAACTATTTATCTTAATGGGGGTTCAAAATTGCTAGTGTTGGATTTTGTAGAGACTTATAAAGCAAAAGAGTAAGTAGGTTATATAATGGAGATTATAAATTTACACCAGTATGGTGAATGAAAAATTGTCCTGCCATTATATGAGTGGGTACTGTGGCTTGAGATAAAATTCCACTATACTTCTGTACACTGATTCACAAAAATGCCACACCTCAGTAAACTTGGATTGTAAATAAAGATGATATGCTCTGGAAAACAGATAATTGAAAAAGGTGATGTAATGATGACAGAGAGTCTAATGTTGAAGGTGTATATGAAGATTATGAATAATTAAACGTAAACTTAATTTTTAAAAATGTGTATGGGAAAATTATATTTGGGATTGCTATTTTTCAAGAATAAGTGACATTTAGTTCTTTTAAAGTAAGTGGAACTGTTGCATAAGATAGGCTTTAAGCTTCTCCTCTTACTTTTAGGGCCTGGAAATAAACACCCAACGCTGTGTTGTTATAATAAAATATATGACTTTATCATGTGCCCAGTTAGCCCTTAGTTGATCTATTTCTGTATCTTAGCAATGCTCCCTTTATTTTCTGTTTTTGACATAGGAGTAAGGTAAAGCTGGACATTTTCCAAAATATCACTCTTGATAAAAGTAATATTTTTGTTTAGGTGACAAACAGCATGTTTGGTGCTTCAAGAAAGAAGTTTGTAGAGGGGGTCGACAGTGACTACCACGATGAAAACATGTACTACAGCCAGTCTTCTATGTTTCCACATCGGTCAGAAAAAGATGTAAGTTAATCAGTTATATTGTGTTTACTCAGTAGTATATGTCTGTTTCTGCATTCCTGAAAAGCAGCATATGAACGGAAGAGTACTGTCTGTGGTTGAGTGACTATGTTTTAGGCACAGTGCTAGGCCCTGGGACAATGACAATGAACTTACATTCTAAAGGAAAACATAAATGTCCTGTGATTCTCAACTTGGGGTATGGTAATACTGTGGTAGGAAGTATTCAGAGACATGGAGTAAACATGGTATAACAACATCTAGATCATCAGTGTTTTGTGTTTGTTTAATCTGGAAAATAAATTGTTATTTTTATAGTAAAACAAATGCAGATATAGAGTAGTAAGCAGATTTGCACAGATATAACGATATAATGGCAAGCCTCAATAAAACTTTATTGTGTAATCTTCTAGCAATAATCCTAGACCTCTGGTAAAGAGTACCTCTTCTCCGTTCAGCTGTAGGGATACAACAGTAGAACAATTTTTGGAAGACTCTTCCACATATGTTAGATGATATAGAGGTGTGAATTAAGTGCTTTGGAAGGCTAGTAGTTCACTAGTCTCACTTGGGATAAAAGGATTTAGAATAAAGCTAAGTCATAATTAGCAAATTTTAAAAGTATTTTAAAATAAATTCAGCTGTTCAAATTGTTTTAAATTCCACTTTAAATTGTACACTGTAGTCAAACCAGTTGCATTCTTGTACTTTGGATCTGCCCAACTTTTCTCCCTTTCAAACCTGATAAACTTACTATTGCTAATTTCCCTATCTATATAAGAATCTACTCTCACTATTAACTTAATGAGATTCTTACTGATGTTTAAAGCACTTATAAAGTTCTAAGATCCTCATTTTTCTTTGAAGTTAATCATTAGTAAATCACTTCCTATGTCTTTTTAGAGTGTCACAAATTGGCTTAAATTAGTTTAAGTTAGGATTTTAGTTTTATTTTGTTTTTCTGTTTTGATATTTTCCCCCTTTATTTTTATTTGAAAATTTTTCTGTCATTTTGGAAACAAATTATCAATTGTATTATTAGGGCTCTATTCAAATTATGTGTGTTGGCTGTGTTTGTAATTAGTGTGTAATTTAATACTTTATGGAATAACGTCATCTAATTTTCTGTTATCTTACTGCCCTTCTAACTTTTTGCTCTTTGATATAAATTATAATCGATTTATTATTTACACAGTTTCTATGTTCAAGTGTTGACCTCATAGATTAAAAATTTGGGATATATGTTTTGGTAGTATCACTGCAGAAACTATGAAATTACGGTTTGTGTGTGCTGTAGTTTTACATAAATATTTATGTTTATAAATATTACTGATTGATGAAAAGCATTCTAATTAGGAAGAGGTAAAGTACATGTAGTGAATGAATAACAAAAAGATGTCTGTCTTCTAGAAATCAGAAATACTATATGTCTGGGTTTTTTAAATCAGAACTAGTATATACACTCATGGATCTACTCTCATATGTTGATTACTATTCCAGCCTAGTTGGTTGTCATGGAAGTGACAGAATAATTTGCTCCACAAAACTTTGTTAAAAAAAAAAAAAATTAATTAAGGTATTAAGTCATAAGGATTAAGAACTTGGATTCTAAAGTAATACAGATATGTGTGTGGATCCTGACTTTGCCTGTTAGCAAGAACTTCTCCAAGCCTCAATTTCCTCATCTGTAAAATGGGGATAATAATATAGTAGGTACCTCATAAATTGCTGCTGTTGCTGTTAAATAGCACAGGGAAATTATTAAAACTTTAGAAAATATAGACAGGGAGAAGAAGAGAAGGAAAACTACCCATAATCTTATCAGTCAGGATTAATTTACTGCAAAAATTTTGGTTTTATACTTAAATATTTTTATTAAAAAATATGATTATTTAAACCTTCCAGGACATATTTACATATTTCCCACCAGAAAGTTCATACCAGTTTTTACTCTCATCAGCACTCTCCATGCTCTTGAGAATACCAGATATTACCTTCACGTCTTTTTTACATATTTCCCACCAGAAAGTTCATACCAGTTTTTACTCTCATCAGCACTCTCCATGCTTTTGAGAATACCAGATATTACCTTCACGTCTTTGCTTATAGCCAAAAGAAGCTTATGGTTTAATGTGTGTATTTTAAAAACATCACTGATATTTTACACACACACACACACACACACACACACACACACACACACACACACACACACGGTGATTTGTCCTTTTCATATAATTAATGGCCATTTGTATTTCTTTCTTTGTAGATTACCTACTTTTGTGCCGTTTCCTTTTTCTGTATTGAGACGATAAGTCTTGTAAATGTCCTCTGTATAATAAGGTTAATAACCTCTTGTCATTTGTGACAAATATTTTCCCAGCTTTTCACCTTCAGTTTAGTTTATGGTATTTGGAATATTTGTGTATATGTATTTGTTCCAAATATTGTGTGGTATATATACATATACATGTACATGTACCATATACTGGTGTGTATATACAGATACACACCATTAAATATTTATCATTTTTATTAAATGTGATCTATCAGTCTTTTCTTTTTTTTATAGTTTCTGTTTTTTGAAATCATACGTAGACTTTTCCCAATGACTACTTCTAGTATTTTTATGTTTCATTCTTCACATATAATTTATGTCCAACTTTTGTGCCGTTTCCTTTTTCTGTATTGAGACGATAAGTCTTGTAAATGTCCTCTGTATATTAAGGTTAATAATCTCTTGTCATTTGTGACAAATATTTTCCCAGCTTTTCACCTTCAGTTTAGTTTATGGTATTTGGAATATTTGTGTATATGTATTTGTTCCATATATTGTGTGGTATATATACATATACATGTACATGTACCATATACTGGTGTGTATATACAGATACACACCATTAAATATTTATCATTTTTATTAAATGTGATCTATCAGTCTTTTCTTTTTTTTATAGTTTCTGTTTTTTGAAATCATACGTAGACTTTTCCCAATGACTACTTCTAGTATTTTTATGTTTCATTCTTCACATATAATTTATGTCCATTAGAAATACATCCCGCTCACTGGCTGAGTGCGGTGTGGGCACAACACCGAGGGTTGCGATCCCGTTACCGGTCAGTAAAAAAAAAAAAGACAAAAAGGAAAAAAAAAAAGAAATACATTTTGGTTTAAAAAGTGAATTGTGGGCTGGCCTGGTGGGGGTTGCGATCCCGTTACCGGTCAGTAAAAAAAAAAAAGACAAAAAGGAAAAAAAAAAAAGAAATACATTTTGGTTTAAAAAGTGAATTGTGGGCTGGCCTGGTGGCGTACTGGAGAGTGTGCCGCTTGGGAGCGTGGCGGCGCTCCCGCCGAGGGTTCGGATCCTATGTGGAGACTGGTTCCTGCTCACCGGCTGAGCGCGGTGCGGGCACAACACCGAGGGTTGCAATCCCGTTGCCGGTCCCCGGTACGGGCGCAACACCGAGGGTTGCGATCCCGTTACCGGTCAGTAAAAAAGACAAAAAGGAAAAAAAAAAGTGAATTGTTAAGATGCCAGATATTTTTTCCCCCTTGAAGTCATCTGGTTGTCCCAATACCATATATGCTGATCATGGGTCAGAAAACTTTCCCTTAAAAGGCCAGACAGTAACTATTTTAGGCTTCATGGACCAAGAGGCAAAATCAAGGATATTATATAGTATCAATACCTATTAAGTATTGTAGGTACTTATATAACCATTTATAATGTAAAAACCATTCTTCACATATTCTACAAAAATGGGTAGTTTGCTTGATTTGGCCTGCAGGCAGAAATTTGCCCACTTCTGAGTTAGACCATTTATTTGTGGCTAATTGAAATATTTCCTTTAATATACACTGGTGTCTGATGTAACCTTGGGCCTATTTCTAAATTCTCTGTTCGTCATGCTGATTCTGAATCAGAACTACAACACAGTTTGAATTGCCATAGCTTTATAAACCATTTTAACATCTTAGTCAGGTAAGGTCTTCCACACCTTTTTTTTAAAAAAAATGTTTTTTTACTATTGCACATTAATACCAATATTTACCTTCTTTCCAGAAAGATATATCTCTCTTTAATCCTGTTGTTTGTTATTCCTTTTAATAAGTAATTTTATAGTTGCCATTTTCATTGCATTTTTCAGATTGTTTTTTACTTATCTATACAGTACTTTGTGTGTTTATTTACTTTATGACTAACTGCCTTACAAAACTCTTTTATTAGTTTTTGGTGATTGGGGATGTGGGCTTTGGAAATCCTACTACGTAAGTTTGTATCTCAGCTACATGATTTACTAGCTATGTGTGCTAGGGCAACTTAGTTTCTATGCCTCAGTTTTCTCATCTGTAAAATAGGAACAATAGTACATGACTTATGGGTGGTTGTAAGGATTGAATGAATAACTGTATGTAAAGCTTTTTAGAAAAATAGATGGCAAATATGTAATAAATGTTGCTCTTAATGTGAATAATAACAGCATTTGCCATTTGATTCTCTTGGGCTTCTCAGGTAGTTATGTATATCATCTACAAACTGATTATTTTTTATAAAAACTTTTAAAGAGAAATTTTAAACATAATAAATGACTGGGATAATATTGTAATTTTTTTTCTGAGAAGAATGAGAAAATAATTTTCAATCATAGTTTATGATAAAGGAAAACTGATTGAGTGAAACTAAATATCAGTGATCTTAATAGCTTTTGTAAATTTTTTGAGAGAAGGCAATAGAGTTTTGTACTAATGTAACCAACTTGTAGAGTTTTTTAAGAAATATATTTGCATTTTAATTGCTAATACATTTTTTCTAATCTTACGGATCTTTAAGTATGCACTCATTTGATGATTCTTAAGCATAATCATTTGAGAAGCACAAATTTGTGGGGACCTCTTTTCTTCTGTTTTAATATATGGTGAAAAGACATATGAGATGCGACTTTTAAAAAACTTACTTTTAAGAGTTTTTTCTTTTAAACTCCTTAATTTAAAACAAACTCTT